TTAAAGAGAGTTTAATTCGTTCAAAAAATTTGTAATTAAACTGTACGGGACAACGTTTAAAACTATTAATTTATCAAATCTGAAGTGACGAAATATCTTTCTTATGTTTGAACTTGAAAGTGTTAATGAAAAGTCAAAATATTTTGGAAAATTTTTTTAAACCCAAAAATAAAGTGGAAAAAAAATTTTTTTACTCAAACTTGCTCAAACATAAAAAAAAGCAGTTCGAAACCTACCTCAATAAGCTCGTGATAGAAATCTGGTTCGACAACGTCGACATCATGAATACAACGAAGATAATGCACGAGCTTGTGAGTCAGTCTACTTGTGGATTGGAATTCAATTTATTTTAAAGAAAAAGAAACGATTAAACTCGCTGTTCCCAGAGTTAGGTGGTTTAGCCTGCTTGGGGTTTGGTAGGGGTGGTTTCTTGACCTTCATTTGACCTATGGAAGTCACGTTAACCTTATACTTTGATACATATCTGTATGTAAAATTTCCCGCTCTTTCTGAATCCGGCATTAAAAATAGGGAGTTCTATTTAAAAAAGTGACCTTGAAATGACCTTGAAAACTGAGGTCAAGGTCATTAGTACAGGTAGATGACCCCCCACTGTCCTCGACAACTTTTATCCGAACATTTTTTTCGTAGGTTGCGTAGTTTCGGAGATATCTCCGTTTGTCGATTAAAATGGGTCACCGTGTATATAGTCATATATAATATACAATTATATATGCAGCCATATTAGAGACAAAATTCATACATATAAATTATGTAGTTATGTATAATTATATGTAATTTTATATGATTATATATAAACTTTTTTCCCGGAAAATGCGAATTAAATCCGTTTCTCCGTGATTCACCATCCAATCGAAGAATACGTGTTCCATTCCCAGCCATTTAGCGTGAATCTCAAGTAGCTTCTGCGCGTCGTTAAATTCTCGCAGTTTCTCCCGATCCTGCGTGGAATCATCCAGAAACGCTACGCGTTTCGTCAACGCTATCTCGCACGCTCTGAAATCCGGGAGATCTTGGTACGCGGCAAATTGACGTCCACCACAGTGTTCCTCGCTCACCTCGCTTATCTTGGACGCCAATCTACTCCACTCCCGTTTCAATTCGGAGATCTCCTTGAGGTTCGTGTTCACCTTGCCGTTGAGCTGCGAAATTTTATCGAACTCGGCGGATATCGCTAAAGGCTCGCGGCTCTTCGTCTTTGATGATAAGTAAGAAACGATTAGAACATGTAAAAAGGTACTGAGAAATATTCTGGCTATAATTTTAAAGTTTTGGAAAAAAATTGCTTTTCTCTCCATTTTTCCTCTTTTTGTCCCAATATCTATTTTGTGTCCCAAGTGTACAAAAATCCTCTTAGAAAGATTCACGTGTTCGGTTAAAACTTGTCGCACATTTATTTTTTTCTGTTTTTTTCAATAGAGAAGAAATTAATAAAATCCTCGGAAAAATTGAGGAAAAACGGTTTCTTTCGAAGCTTTAAATTATAATTCTCACGTATTTAACGTTCAGATCGGATCGTTACGCATGAGTTATCCAATTCCGGGAGTTTCAGTCTTGCGGGGCAGACTCTCGTCAAAAAGGTAACGTGATTCGTTTGTAAATAAATAAGAGTCACAGACACGAAATCGGCGATCCACGCAACGACCCGACACTACTGATATCAGAAATTCGAAAACTAACTTCTAAAACTTCGCCCAAATTGTCGGTCTGAGTTTTATTTTTGATGAGTTTCATTCGATGAACCAAAGTCAGGACATCCTCGGTCGCCAATAGCCAACTTAAAGCTATCAATAAGATTCTGGTTCCTCCGTCGACTCGTGGAAAGTAAAAGTCTAACGCTGGGTATTGCAAGACTGCAAATTTCAACTTATAGCCGAGATAGTTGTCTAAAAATATAATGGACAACGCGCGAGATAAGTCGAGAGCTTGCGGATATTGCAAAACTCCGCTGTCGTAATACTTATGCTTCACGTAAAAATTTCTTCATTCGATATATGCGCTGTTAAATATAACATCATCATAAAATATTTCACAGAATCATGTACTGATGTTTCAATATCACGTGTATTACAATTATCACATCGTGAGTACGTTCCACATGGCGCGAACCAAAAATCCGTGCGACATGAATTCAAGGAATTCAGTCGTACAAAATCCAGGTAGAATAGAAAATGACGAAAAATGATGAAAATAACATCAAAATGTACGGAGAAATTGATCAAGACAAACCGTTCATGGCATTTACGCTGTACCCTTTCAGTCTCACAGCGTAATCGCTTAAAATTGACAGCGTATCCTGCAGCTTGCATTTCTAATGAAAAAAAAAGAATATACATGTGACCGACAGATCTGTCAGGTGCAACACGGGAGACCGTAAATTCAAATTTGAGACTTACGACTTGCTCGTCCACGATGTCGTCCTTGGCCGATATAAGATCCTGAGGATCGAGTTTGACGTCTGTCAGCGACCGAATGCATCGGCACAACAACTCCAGTGCTTCTGTCACATTATTGGGCATGGTTGACAATTATTTTCACTTCCTTCGCAGATTTGTCTATACTTTTCCAGGAAACGGTAAAACGCGTGTGTTCTTTCGGTTAAAAGTTAAACTCGCGGACGAACAATGTACGTTATGGTGATGAAGAAAAGGAAAATAAAAAGATTCATATAAGTCAGACCTCCGTGCACGCGTGCGACTTTTCCGCGCACTACGGCACACAATTGTTATATATATATATATGTGTATATATATATCAAATTGAAGGTCACTTCTTTCACGAAAAATAGGCACAATTCAACACGCTATAACTTCCACAGACATAACTGTGACGAGGCGGTTCGAGAAGGGTTATAGAATCTGAAGTCTCTAATTCTCGGATGTGCTTCCGAAAATAAACCCCACTTGTCACTCACGAAGCTACACAGATGTAAATGAAGATCTGCCGAAACATCGGAATAGTAGGTCGGATCAGCTGAGCCCGTTAATAGCTGTCCAGAAATGCCATCTAGCGGTGTTTCAGTAGAACCGTTTTGTAAACTTTCAGTGTCGGTGAAAGGATACGAGTCTTGATTAAAAAAAGGTTCGAATCTTAGCTAAAAAAGGATTCGAATTTCGGCTGAGATTTTGATTAGTTCCAAACATCCCGCTACGAGTCGCTACTGTACCACATGAAAATTCGATTCGAGGTAGTGATTCAATGATAAGTCAGCCGGACGTCACTTTCAAGTAGTAGAGGATCAACGATTAGTCCGAAATCTTTTTATTTTCGACTTTTATGGCTCGAAACTTAACTTCGGTGAAAACAACGACAACAAGGCGTTTCTAAAAGCATCTTCCAGCTTGGGATCTCCAATTTGCTGTTGTTTTTCGCCACGATGCATCGAGTTAAAGGAAAAATGGCAGAATCTCGTCGTTATCCTTGCGAAAGTTACAACCTATCGATTTTGCCAATTTCCCGTAATTGAGATTAATAATATCCAGAGTTTAAAAAATGACTCATCGAATCGACGTAATTTCGATCGTTTCAGCGACGATATGACGTCAATTCGATACAAATTTTTCACTAGGCAATTATTTTATTCGCAATGCATGAATATCGTGACGCTATTACTGTGTTCTCCTCATGCACAGTCATACGAAAATTCGTTGGTTGAAAATAAAACAAATTGCGAGCTCGCAAGTTCTTTACTACAAAAGTTCCGGCGGGTGTACGGGTGTGCGACTTGAAACGAACCTGCGCGCAAATGAATCATCCAACTCCTCACAGCTTGAACGCACGCGGACATCTGGTATGGTTGTTCACCGATTTTCGCAAAAATCTCCTGGATAATTTCGCATGCAACGGCACTGGTCTTTTGCGCTAACTGGACCGGCTTTATCGGGAGAACCACGATTTGCCAATGATTTCACAACGCGACAGCTTCATAACATTTCTTCATGATCTTGTGAACGTCTTTGAAATGTCTTTACAATATCTTATAATGTTCTCTGAAAATGTCAGACGTTTGTCGGTACGATAATTTATGTAAGAATAAATTTTCAAGGAAGACACGCGGAAAAGGTGATGAGAAATTCTTCATGATTCTTAATGCAGATTCCCGTATGACAATAATAACAGATCTTCGTTCTACCGAACCGGCTGAATTTTACACGCTGACGCGTTTCAATGCACACTCTCCTCTTCCTCCTCCAGGTCTCCCTCATCACGGGAAAGAGAGAGAGAGAGAGAGAGAGAGGGGCTCGGAACGACCGTGCACACGATAGATGTTTAAAGGCGTTCAATCGCGTTAATAAATTGAAATTGAATGTCCAGGCTCGTTTACCTCGCTTCTTCCGTCTTCTACCTTCGACCACCTCCACCACCATCTCCGCGGTTTACCGCTCGCTGCTTCTCCTCCTTCTCCTCCGCCCGCCGAAAGATCCTCTCTCACTCCCTCGTCCGCCTTCTTCATCCAGCCGGCCGCTACGTCACGGCCGATGGAACGCAGATATAGAGCCGCTCTCCGAGCCGCGGACATCAGTACAAAGGGACGAGTGTGGACGTAATAGTCGTTGTCGTTGGCCGTCGGTCTCGCAGAAGCTTGGACAAGTCGGCACCTTCTCCGAGATGACATCGAGCACTCGTCACCTGAAATGGAAATTAGCGTGCCTGGCGTTGGTTCTGGTGAGACTACCACGTTCATTCCCCGGGACCGGCGAGTCCTCGCGAGCGACACGCCGAAAGCGCGCACCGTCGCCACCTGCCGCATTTGAATTCAATCCCCGGTCGCTCCTTTGAACGTCGTACGCTCCCATAAATCGCGCGGAGATCGAGAATTCGCTCGTTCTTAAACTTTGCACTTTTCACATTCGAAGGCGGGCCCAATCGAGTCCTGAGACCGTGCAAGTTCGGCGCAGTGAGAGCGAGAGAGAGAAAGAGAGGAGCGACGACGGTGTAGAAAGTGCAACCGACACAAGCGGTTTTTCTTAGGTGAAACAGAAATTGATGATGACGGTCAAAATAACGTCAAAATGATGACGAAATGATCGAAAAGTGAGGTTTTATAGTTATTTTGACGTTATTTCGATGTCATTTTGACGTCATCGTCATTTTCTGTTCTATTTAGGTTGCGACGATCCGGAAAGAAATTTCAGTATACAATTTACCCTGATAACACTGTTTTATGTACGTTCTTTACACGTATAATACGATTATGAGACGTTACATACGTTTTAAAAATATAACATGTGCTACCTGTGTGTAGATATAATTATATACAATTATATATAATTGAATATAATTATATATAATTATATACAATTATATATAATTGAATTATATATAATTATATTCAATTATATATATAATTGAATTATATATAATTATATTCAATTATATATAATTGTATATAATTATATATAATTATATTATATTCAATTATATATAATTGTATATAATTATATATAAGGCATCGTATATAAAATATATAAAATATGTTCATATTTAAAAATATATAATTATATATAATCACATATAATTATCGATTTTTACACATATTATATCGACATATTTTGTATATAATTATATGCGAAAAATTTTTCCCAGGGATCTCCTGTACGAATTTATAAATTATAGTCTTAAAGTTTCGGAGAAGGATCGTTTTTTCCCCATTTTTCCGCGGATTTCTTCAGTTTCTCTCGTAAGTATACAAAATTTTGTTTGAAAAAATTGCACATGCATTCAATCAAAAAACCTGCGACACATATTTTTTTCCCCGTAAAGAAATAAGGAGACTCGAAAAAATCCGCAAAAAAATGGGAAGAAACGGTTTTCTTTCCCGAAACTGTAAAAGTTATCATTTAAACGCAACCACGACGCGGTCAATGACGAGGCAACGTGGGCTTTCGAAATCGGTCTGTTGTATCCGCGCAATCTTTAATCGCCAATCCGCGCACTTTGCCGGCTGTGATTTATAATGACCGAGACCTTTAACTCGCCGACTACTAAGTACTCCGACGGGAGTTTATCACTTAGAGCGAGAACAAACGTGTCTACGGTGATCTTAACACATTAACGGCGGGCGATATTTTGTGTGATCATAAAAACTTTAAGTCGAGCTAAATTGTTTTACTACGACTCCCGCCTTTAAGCCGCAGTCGAGCTAAATCGTAGTACTACGACTCCCGCCCTTAATGTGTTAATATGTAATACGCCGAGAGTGTGACAGGCGCGCTCACAGTCAACGAAGCGTTAATTGAGCATAAATGACGGGAGTGAGCTGCGGCTCGCGCCTAACGCGAATTAAAACGAAGCGCATCTAACGACTGTCAATTTCTTCCAGCCGCTTCTGCAGAATCCGGAGAATCCTTCCTCCGTGCGAGTCTGCGCGGAGAAGAATTTTTCGCTCTTGCAGCAAAAAGATTTGTCACGTCCTGGGAAAATATTATTATATATGAATTTTGTCTCTGTATGGCCATATGTAATCAAATACGATTACATATTTAGATTCCACATCTAAAAAATGTTGTTACATGAATACAATTGAAATAAATGTTTAAGTTTATATGGCTGCCGGCTGATGTAAACACCTAATTGAATAAAACTATTGAATACAAAAATTGAATCAAACTATTTCTTTCCGTTTTTCATTCAACAGTAGTTTTATTTGTTCATTTTATAGGCATCTATAATTATATGTGCAGCCATATAGAGACAAAATTCATATATAAATCACATATAGTTATATATAATCATATGTAATTTTATATGATTATATGTAAACTCTTTCCCCCGGGACAGAGGAAATAATTTTGTTGTTGCAGCGAAACGTCGTTGTAACAGCAAGAAAATTCAATTAGCATAATTAGGCAATTAACACTTCTAACACTCCTAACACTCCTAACGAATCTTCTCACTGTTCGAGTGCATTTTTTTTTGCTGCATGCCTAGTAACAATTCGCCGTGCCGGCGTGAAAATTTTCTCTTTGCATGTTCCCTTCGTAATACGATGGCATTGACTACGTTCACCTGTAATAATTTAAAACTGGCTTGCAAACATTCGCGATCTACTCTTCAATCAATAGAACGGCCGTGTTCAGTACACTAGTTTATTCTACGACTATTGGAATTTTTCTCCGCTGATATTGTGTTATTCGTTTAAACCTATAAGAATAATCCAATCTCAGCTCAGGGAAAAATAAAAATTTTCCACAGGTGCAAAATAAATCCAGCGAAGTGGCATAGTTAATTTCACAAACAGGTTCTTCAAACATAATACGATTATAAAGTGTTTAAAGAATGTACACGGGAAAAAATTAAGTATAAATTCAAGATTTATATATCCTAATAAAGGCAATCATTGCTTCATATACAAGCAAGAATATGTTATCTTCTTACAAAAATTTAATATTCTTGAATTTCAACATGTGCATGTTGAGAATACGGATTTTCTCAAAACAAGAATATTATTTTTTTCCGTATGTAAGAACCTAATATGTGCTATTCGGAAATCCGTTCTGCTGAACGTGGCCGATAAAACCGATCTAACAATTCCTGATATTGTGACTGTCGGTGTTACATGTGGCATAAATTATGTTACAATTACATATTACAAATAACACCGGTCGAATTACAACGTCGACAGATGTTTAATCGGTTTTTGCGTCAATCGTATAAACGTAGACCATAATGTACCTGTGCCGAGATGTCTCTAAATCGGTTTCAGATTACCGGTTTCAGAAACCGTGTAAACGTGATTATTCTTTCTGCCTCTCATTATTCTCCTTACGCACGCAGAGAAAAAGGTTTCTTTAGATTTAATATTTCTATTTATTTGACTAAAATTTGTTTTATAGAAACAACATGTAAGAAATATTATTTGTTTGAAATAAAAATGTTATTGTCTCATTCAAGAAAACTCTATTACTTAACAGAAAGAACGCTATTATTTGAAATAATATCTCTTAACCAGAGAAAATATTTGGTTACAATAAATTATATACAAAGTGAAACAAATCTTGCGTTTCGAACCAATTTTTTATTTAGGACAAAGACAGATATTCGTTGAAAAGTCTAACAATCGTACTTACTAATCGAAAAATTAATTTCTCTGGAGCGTGCCAATGATGAAGTTTATTTGGATGCCAATTTATTACATTAAATAAAATTTATTAAATCTGAAGAAATCTTTTCCTCGGTGCATCTTTCGATTTTTCCCACGCGCGGGATCCTCCGAGAAATCGAAACGTCGTTCCTTGCGTCGTTCGCGTCACCCAAGACTTTCCCAAGGCGCTACATTGTTGACAGTAGTAGCGGAGAAGGCCGGCAGAGACGGTGTTTCGGAAGTGAGGATACGCGACGACCGCGCCAAGTGACGAGCACCTGTGTAATTATGGTCGAACAACGGCAGCGGCGGCGGTAGTGGGAATACCTGGAAATCGCGGACGCGTAATATTTCGCGATGCACTTCTCTGATGGAAGGAAGCGCGATCAAAATTCAACGGACTCGCCGGAGTTACCCGCGCTACGTCGCAAACTTGGTATTGTCAATGTCTCACCTGATGGATTTTCCGAAAATGTGAGGCAGGACGAATTTCGTCGACGCTCCGCCGAGTTCCGCCTCGAATATTCCCACTTCCGTGTCTCAGTTAGGACCTTAGCAAGATGGTCGACTTATCGGCTCAAGATGTGTTTTAATTAATTATTTAATTGTGTTTCACTTAATGTTTTGTGCCTCAAGTCTTAAGGTCGTTAATATTTTCAATTTGCTTCTATCAATAAAAGTGCCTTAAACGTGGCTTTTCGCCCGATCAGGTGGTTTCTAAGCCGCTTTCATACAGGCCTATCAATTTTATCGATAAAAGTAAGTTGAGAATATCGATATGTCTGTCTTTGAGAAACGCACAATGACTGTCTTCCCAGACAGCACGATGTTCAAAATCGGGATGTAAAACATCTCTAATGTATCTTCAGAGACGATGTTTCAAAACATCTTACGTCTCGATTTTGAATATTGTGCTGTCCGGATTGTGTCTTGAATTTTAAATTAAAGAATCGTTCTGTTTGCGACCAATGACGAACTGCTGTATAATACAAAAATATATAATAGAAATAAATAAAAAACGCACTGATAATTTCGACAAAGATTCATGAAGTATTGCCTTAAAATTGAGCAAGTCAGCCATTTTGCTAGGGCCATTTTACTGTTGTGCTGAAAAATGAAACTTTAACGACGCACCTTGTAAAATTTCGCGCGCACGTTCCGCTAGTCGCGGCATGAAAATGAAGAAAAACAATTCTATCTCTCTTATCACGCTTCGTTCGACAAGATAAGCGACGGTCTCGCTGTCTCGCGAGAATAATGACTGAAATTGGCCGGGACAATACGCCGGGTGAAGCCTTCCGCGTGTTCCCCTCGCGTTGAGAGACTTTCCGCGAAAGCGGTTTATTTTTAGAGCCGGAAAATCGCCTGACCGTTTCCACCAACATGCTCTTGCCGGCAGATCTGCCAGGCGGCGCGACAGACCGAGGGATATTCCCGCGCTGCTGACCAAGTAACCAGAAGGCCGCCCATGAAACGGGACCTTAACAAGTACCACAATACTTCGGCGAGCGAGACCTCCTCGAAACCGGAACAAGGGACGTCGCGGGATCATCACGAGAGTACGTCGACGTATATCTTGCGCGTAATTGCGAACGGCGCAGTCGTTACCCAAGCGGGACAAAAAGTCATGTGAAAGTCAAGATGACATCAGGGTGACGTCGAAAAGTAGTCATTTGTGGAAAATCATAGTGACGTCATCTAATACATTAAATAGAACAATCGTTCTATTTTTTCGTAACATTTATATTGCAGAACATTCTTAAATGCTCTTTCAAACAGCGCACAATATTTATTAAATATTTTTAAAATATATATATTATATATTTCATAAATATAAATAATAAATATAATAAAGTCAAGTGTGAGAAAGATCATGATAAATATTCGAAAATATTGAAAAATATTTTTCATAAATAATTGAAGCAGTTTCACTCGAGCGGAATCGTCTTTCTATTATTTATGAAAAATATTCTTCATAAATATCTTTGAATATTTATCATAATCTTCCTCATACCTGACTTTCCCAAATATTTGAATATTTACAAAATATCTAATACCTATATTTTCAAAATATTTTGTAAATATTGCTGATCTCAACTCTTCATATTTTTTTCTAAAGTTGCATACCAATATTCAGTATTGCCAATGCTAAAAATCTATAGTTTATGCCATGTATATTGTAGATTTTTAATGCTGGCAATGAATATCGAAATAACGCAGCCTAAAAAATCGCAACTATTCATCAGAAATGAATTGCTATTGCGAAAAGGTTTCAGTTATATTTAGAGCTATAATCATTTTAATTTGCAATTTTAATTAGCTATATGTAAACAAAATTGTTTATAATTACAATAAATAGAATATTGTATATACGAACAATTCTGTATAGCTACTTAAATATATTGAACAGACAGTTTATTTGAAAGGAATTAAATCTGTGAATTCTAAAGTCAGAAATTTTCGTCAATTTCCCGTCACGATCGGAAAATGATCTTTGGAAGTCGTTTTACTGTCATTTCGACGTTACCGCGACTTTTCGCTCTGCTTGGGTATTCGCAGTCGATGCGAGCACCGTCCGATGCTATTGCAATTACTTCCAAGTTCCAATCAAATCTGTAATCTCGACTTTGTTTGCTCCCGCCCGCTGCTAGGTCGAATCTTTATCTACGATGAATATGAACTCAGTATGATTTCAGTTTTCGCTGCGCAGTATAAGTGGCTCCGAATGATCCTCGTTAATAACGCGCGATGCAAACTGTAGCAAACGGTAATTCTTTTTTTTTTAACGAACGGCCCGATGCGAGCCGTCGTCCAGATAAAAAAAATGTTGTATCAGGTTGCTCGTTAAATATCTCGACTTGTCGCGACTCGAAAGAATGCTCAATCACGTTACAAAGAACCGTGTCGAACCGTCGAAGATGATCGGAATTACATTGAGATAAGGGGCAGGGCTATTACGGCACGTACGATAAGAATAAACGAGCTCGAGAATGTCGATTGGAAGCCTGTTTCATTTTTCAATCCTCAATTGCATTAAATAATAGCGTATCTTTGAGGTTTATGGCTAATCGTATATTAAAGATTAGGTTTGAGATCGTATTACGATAGAAGTACAATGTTCAATTACACTATGAATATCGGACCACTGCACGTGGAAGAATGAAATTACAGACGAATTGGAGATTGGAAGTCGATCGATCAGAACGAGAAGAGAGCAAAGACTGATATTGCAGGCTCCCGGGGAAGAGTGATTACCCGGAAAAATAGTTTATATATAATCATATAAAATTATATATAATTATATATAACTATGTATAATTTATATGTGAATGTTGCCTCTATATAGCTACATATATAATTACGTGCCCATACAAAATAAAAATACAGTTGAGTGAAAAACAGAAAGAAATAGTTTGATATTATGGTGAAAGTTAGATATCAATCGACGACTCTACTCAGCTGTTTTTTTTTCGAAACAGCACACAATATTTATAAAATATTTTAAAAATATAGATATTAAATATTTTATAAATATTCAAATGCCTAGGAAAGTCAGGTATAAGAAAGAATATTTAAAAATATTTTTCATAAGTGTCTTTGAATATTTACAAAATATTTAATATTTATATTTTTTAAATATTTTATAAATATCGTGTACTATCTGAATTATTACGAAAGACGGATTTCAAATGTGATTAAAAACCAAATTGTTTAAGTAAATGATACATATAAATATATACCGGTAGAACGAATTGCTTCGAATGTTAGCTCCACGAGCAAACTAGACTCACTTTGACGCCGAGGATGATCAACGTGAAAATTAATGATGTCCGATGAAGATAGGATGACGGAGGCATTTTTAACACCGCGAACGCGGACAAGACTCAAAAGTCAATCTTGTGGTTAACCGTCTTTGAATCGCAGATGAAAGCGGAGCAAAGTAACAAAAAAGCGAGTGTTGAAATAGAAATCAATTCGCTCCGATTCGATGCTATTATTAAACGAACGTTACCAGCCACAAACGTTATCAATGATCGGCACAATGTTACTTGTAAAAGGAGTTAGTATCATCTTCATCGTTCGCTCGCTCGCATTAATGTATATTCATGAAACTTGTTTGATTGAGATTTATGCAAGAGTATCGAAACACCACAAGTCTAGTTGACGAAGTCGCTCATGTGCACTCATAGCAACATCGTTTTCTTGCTCCAGGGCCAACCGAGGACACGTTGAATGGGAAAATCGTCTTTCCATCGAACGATGACTCGTTGCCGAGTCGACGACAGAACGTGGGAACGCCACCGGTCTGCGAGGACAGCACATTTTGCGAGAACGTCAGCCAATATCCCACGCAGTTGGTGGACTTGGCGCTCCAGCAGAACAGCAGCCTCAAGTTCCTGATGAATGTCGATGTGATTAATTCGGTTTAAATTATATTTCTTCTTCGACGGAAAGCGTGAATCGCAACTGGCGCGGAAGTTGCGCGGAGAAGACGTCTTCGCTCGCGCACTTTTACCGTTACCGAAAAACAACGGGCGTCATCTTCGCGCGTCTGGAACGTTGGAGCGTCGGGAAGCTGTTACGGGAACCGACAATGCAAAAGCAGTTCTCGGCCGAAATGATTCCACTTTGCCAGAAACAGACGAGAATACATGGCCGGAAACTCGGCAATAGTTGCTCTAACCGCCAGTCGCGATTCCTCGTTCGAATTCAGATTCCAATAAATTCCTCAATCGTATCTTTCCAGGTGGTCGACATAGCCCAGAGGATAAACGACTCGCCCGACGAGATAGCGCTCTGCACCGCCAGCGTGAGTGCAATCATGCGTTACGCTTTTATGAAACGCGGAAATGAGAGGAAGAAGTCAAAGAATTTAGGGAGACGCAAATATGTAGTATATGATAACCCAGTAAGCAGGAAACGTTAGAACTATCTTTCGAAATATTGACTTTTATAAACATTTCAATGTAATATTTGATAAATGTTTTTGAACAATTGTTCTTTGATAATATAATATTCCTAAATATTAGGATCATAGAAATATTATTTTTAATATTTGGGTCAAATGTTATTGTATGCATAATATTATAATATTAAGAACTGCATATTGAAAAATGTTACATATTATGAAATTCAGTCACTGTAATAACGTTATAATGATTTCTTGCTTACCAGGAAGACTGGAATCAAAAAATCGTAGGAAAACAAGAAAAGCCAAGTCTCACGGATCTTATCTTGCAACTGATTTTTAGGGAGACATTTTATATTCCCGTGTCCCCCTAAATCTATATCGACTCTTCTACACAGATCAATCCGTATTACGACAAATACCGGGATCGTCAAGCAACCTGACGAACTGCCAATCGCTAATCACGCTTTCGCTCGCAGGAAAGGCTAGTCTACCCGCAGACCGCGAAGAGCACTCGCAAGGAATGGCTGTACGTCGTGAACCAGGACAGCTATAAGCAGGGCGTGCGCGTCGAGGTCTGCAGGTAAAAATAACACGCGACGTGATTTTTCTCTTCTTTTTTTTCTTCTTACGAAGAGAGAGAGAGAGAGAGAGAGAGAGAGAGAGAGAGAATGGCCGGGAGAAATCGCGCATCTACAACGAGCGAGTTATCCATTTCGCAGCGACCAGGATGGGCACTGTAACGTGATCGACGGCTTCTCTAACAACTACCAGACCTTCTGCAAGCAGAAGTACGTTGCCCGCGAGTTGGTGGCGTTGAGTCCCAACGGGGCAGCAGTCTTGGACACGTTCCTCTTCCCAGCGAGCTGCTGCTGCTACCTCACGTCCACCGGCGGCCAGGCCGCAAGATCGGCGGGATAAGCGGACTGGCGAAGAGAGAAGGAGGGAAGTTAATACAAAAGAATGGTGGTGCGTTCGTAAGTACAGGACGGAGAAATGCGTCGTCACCCTCGTCATGCGTTTTCTGGCGGAAATACATCCTGAGAAAGGAAAGAAATCACAGTAGCCACGATCTTGAAATTCGATCTCACCTACGTAACATCCCCGGAAACAAGAAACGTTGAGTCGATCTTTCGAATTGATCTCATGTGGATTTTATAAACGTTTTTAAACTGTTACTTGGTAATATTATGTTCTTAAATATTAAAATCATGGTATAGAAACATTATTTTTAATGTTTCGATCAAATATCGTTAACAATGACGTTGTATGCAGCATTGAGAATTACATATTTGAAGACATTACGTATTATATCATTGTAATAACATTGCGTTAACGATTTCTTGCTTACAAGGACTATTCTGTTAATTGGCACGATTACGCATAGTGAATAGATTTAATCGCAGCGATGAGAACTTCGCGACTCTCCCTTTCGATGAAACAATTCTGCGTTGCGATACGTACTTCTTCCTCTCGTTTGATCCTCTTGAATGGAACAAAAACTGAAAATAGAAAGTGGCCTTGAATTGAAGGAAAAGAAGTCGAGAAGGAAACAGACGAGACAACCGGGATTAACTTCGCAAGGTATTCCTTTCCCTTTGTGTATCTCCGCCGAACGGGGGGGCGCCAAATCTCTTTTTGTGGCGATACTCATAGTCGGATCTTGAGATATAACATGGTCTTAAATTCATCTTCAGGAACTGTAGGTCGTCTCATCGGCTACAATCTGAAGACGAACTTGAAATGGTTATAGCATGAAATGCGTTTTTTAAAATCCGTTGAAATTTGTACTATGTATAAATTCAAAATACGACCTAGTTATTAGCGCGATTACAAAAAGATTGATTATTCGGAATCCGAGAAATTGGCAACCAAAGATGACATTTTTTATATGTACTCCTTATATTTAATAGAAATTATTCTCCCAAATTACATCTAAGACTTTTTTTAATAAAAAATGACTGTAATATTAAGGATTAATATAAGGATATTGTACAAAAATTTCAGAATACTGATCGTTTTGAAAATATAGAACAACAGGATATAGGAAATTTACAGAAACTTAGAGAAATGCCCACGATATATATATATATATATAATATAATATAATATGTAAATATATATATATATATATATATATATATTTACATATACACATATATTTAAATATTTATATGTCACTTTCTATTATGTGTGTACTCTATTAGCTCAACGGAAATTTAAATAAAGCATTAATAAGAAAAATAAAAAATAAATAATGTATATCTCCGTGCCTGTAATATTGTATATATATATATATATATTTCTCTTCATTTCTCTCGCTCAATATTAACATTTACTACTTAGGTAGTTAAATAAATCTATTGGAAAGTATTTTTTTCCAGTAAATTAATAAACTTGTGTTAAGCTTGCTATGCCTCTTAATATCGCCGCTGAAAATCCGTCACTCTAAGATACAACTACTTCAAGACACTTTTAAACACAAGATCTGACTATGAATGACCGCTCAGAATTTACATTTAAGACCAAATCTCAAAGTCCAAGTCCATCTTCTGATGCTGTGCGGCTCATTTTATGGCTTCCGAAACATCCGAAGGTGGACCTAAGACGATCCTGAATACAAGATCCGACTGTGAATACCGGTCTTTGAATCATCGCGACGCATAATTCCGTTTCTTCACACCCTGCTTCGTAGCAGAGATTTGTGATTCTCAGCGTGAAACTTCCTGGTGCAGTTCCGGACGCGCCTCGTGTAGTCCCCTCGAAATCATCCGACTCCGACGTAAATGCAAAGAGAGAGAGAGAGAGAGAGAGAGAAAGAGAGAGAGAAAGAGAGAGAGACGCCCTGGCGAACTCCTGCGGCCAGTTACTCGTTCCCTTCCTTTATTCTTTCCGTTCCATGCAAAGAGAATCAACATTGTGACGAACAAGAAACCGTCGAATGCAAGGAGGAAGGTTCCCGCGTGCCTGTCTCGGTACTCCTCAGCCGAGTACCAGCGGCGGCGAGTAAGTCGCGTTTCCCACGAGTTCCCCAGGTGTTTCCAATTCTCGTGATTAATAATCGGCGACTTTACGATGTATGCGACCGCAATTAACGTGGACCAGTAGACATGTGCGTATCTTTATTCAAGAAACACAGTTTATATATCTGCTTCTGCCGTTCTTTCTTGTCCTTTTTTCTTCTATAAATAACGCAAGCGCATTCCCTAGTATTCTTATAATCGATACGATTGAGTCTCGATAGTAGGATAAGAAATGTGTACAACATTATTATTGTGTGATATTATGATACGATTGTGTGTGTGTATACTTATGTGCGTTAGGAATTACATTAACGTTGTATTCTCTCTTACGTATAAAGTACGAAATAAAATAAAAGAAAAGTGAGCTATTCTCCTGTGTTGTGTATGCAGCGCATGCGCGGTGATTCGTCCGAGCGCTTCGGGTCAGCCGGCGGCGGCCACTAAAAGGCACAATTCGCGTTTTGTCGCGCATCGTTGACTCGCAGCGCGCTTCGTGATTTTCCTTTCTCCGGCTATGTCGCCCGTGAGCACACACATACTTGAAATTATCGCTCGATGTTGCTACATTCGAGCGACTTTCGACAGCAGCGGTAGAATTTAGAACGTTGTTTAACGAGTCGCGTACCCTTCTCTCTCTCTCTCTCTCTCTCTCTCTCTCTCTCTCTCTCTCTCTCGCTTGCTCTTCGGCGACACACGCGCGATTTTATTGCCACTTGATTTATCGAGTCGGTTACAAAAAGGAAAGCGACACTCTTTTTTTTTTACAAGCTTTGGGACGCACATATCCCGTGTCCAACAGGGGAATCTGTTTCTCGGTAATTCTCAAGAAATGTATTTTCAGAGCCGCCATTCAGTCTCCTTGGTATAAAAAAAGAAATTAAAGAGCAACCAAATGTGACATTTTTTGTCAAATTCTAGTAACTAAGACCACTTGAGCAAAAAGTAATATTCACTCTTACTCTTCCATGTCCATCTTCGGATAATTTAACGTACAGCGAGTTCTTTTCATAGTAGGATCAGGAAATTCATAAGGAAAGACCAAGATGTGTAAACGATACAAATGTATGCTTTCAGAACAATTGGCAGCAGACAAGACGGCAAAAAATTAAAAAAAAAAATATATATATATATATATAGAACACCTATATTTTACAAATTTAACGGTAACTCGGGGAAAAATGTGACTGAAGTGGTCTATTTTGGACGATAGTGAATTTTTCGGCCGGACTTGTCAAGAATAAGTGACAAAAGGTGATTTTAAGTGATTGAATGGCAGCATGTTCCGCTGTATTTTCTCATTACAATACGAGATACGTTGCGAAACTCATCGAGAAGTGTCGCGAGCTTTTCGCGGCCCATGTGTATTGATTCGAATAACTCATCGGATCGTTAGATGTAAATCAAATGCGAGTCGCTCGATCGCTTCCTCCTCGTTTCGCTTGCAACGCGCAGTGACCGACGATCCCGCGGTCGGCGTGTAACGAAGTCATAGAAAGTCTCTCCGTGGCTTCGTTGCGCATCGATCATTTTCTCTTCGTTCATTTGTACGGACAAGCGGCCGGCTGCCTAAACAATTCAACCTGGCGAACGCACGAGCGGCGCTGGGCCGCGAATCGGAGCGCAGAGTTCGGAAACACCATCGTCCGATGTGCGAGCGAAACAGGCGCTCCAGTTTAGACAACGAGCCGCCGTCTTCCGTCGCTTTCGTTTGAAGAATTTGCAAATCCAGACCCGGTCGAACCGCTCGATTGCGTCGTGTTCCCGTGAGAGAGTGGGCGCTCTTCAACTCGACGACAACGACGACGTTTCACTCTTCGATCCTCGCAATTCTGCCGTTGTTTCGCAAGGGAAGCTCATTAGCGGAGATCGCGCTGTGTCGCTCTTGACGCAATACGGACGGCGAGGAGGAGGAGGAAAAACAAATGTCGCGCATCGCGTCAACCACTCTCGCCGGGCGAATCTCGACGCGTGCGAAATATTAAAGTACATTTCACAGGAGAACGTTTTTTTTCATGATGAAAGTCACCAGCTCGCGCTTGGAGACCGAGAGAAAAAGAGAGAGAGAGAGAGAGAGAGAGAGAGAGAGANAGAGAGAGAGAGAGAGAGAGAGAGAGAGAGAGAGAGAGAGAGAGATAATCGAAAAATACATGCTCACATATAAGGAAAAACAATCCTCGACCTGCTGTCGAGCGGCAGTGCCTCATTCGTCGGTCACTCCTCGACCTGACATTTCAACGCCGTTATTCCACTAGTCGCGAGACTTACAATTAAGCGTGAAACTCCGCTCGTTCGCGCGAGTCAAGTCGCGCGTTCACTCACTCGCCCGCTCGTTTTCTTACAATTTAGCCGCTCGATCGGCCGGATATTAAACGCGCCACTCGACATTGCGCAGACGAGGCTCGTATTTCTAAACGCGTGTCGAGGAGACGCTCAAACTTGTCGTTAATAAATCGCACACCATCGGTTTCCCTAAATGTCCAGTGTGGCGACCGGACGACACGAGTTTCATAAACGTGCGCTCGCTGCTCGGGACCCGACACGCTTCGTCTTGACCCGCCGGGAAAACGGAAACTCTCACCGAGTCGGCCATCAGCCGAGCGGGATGCTCGCACGAAGCGGACGCATGACGGCGCACTCGTCGTCGAGGTAAACGCAGTCTCAAACGCGAGATCGTTCGAGGAGCGACAATTCTCATTCAAAGCTCACACCGACGGACGGGCTTGCGAACACCCGGCATGCAATCATGTATCGCGCGTCTTCGTATGCGCGAACACACGTCAGTAATAAGCGCGTAATCTCGCGTCAGTTCCGCAACGGTTGCCGCAGCGCGGAGCCTCACAAGCACGCACAATGGGGAGCGCAAATGAGAGAATGTAAATGAGAGAACGCAGAGGCAATCTCACGAGGCGTAACGAGGCGTAACGCAAGTTCATTCTGCAAAAGATCAGTGCTGTTTCGCCGATAACAATAACAAAGCCGGACCGTCAACACGAGAAGGGAGAAAACTGTACTTGGCAGACTCGGAAGCATCCGAACGGGAAGACACACACACACACGCGCGCGTTCGTTTGGAGAGCGCGAGATCGCGCACGAGCGGACCCGTAAATAATAACTTGTGATACTTCGCGCGTTTTCGAGATACAATGGTGCGCGTGTTATAACGGCTGGCAGCTTCCTCTCTCTCCGAAGGTATGTTCGTCTGATGTATATATGTATATAACGGCGGTCTTAGCTCTCTAGTCGGTTTATGTGTAAATGCAATCGTGTACGCGTGGGCACGTGGTGTGGGCACTCGACGTTGTCCGTTCGACAAACGTGGAACAACATCGGTACGAAGAAAAACGGAAAAATACAGAAGACGGAGTCAGTCGTTAGTCAGGCTGGCAAAGCTCTCTCCTCGTCCTCCCCTCTCATCCCTCCATTCCCCTTTCTCATTCGTCCATCCGTTGTGTCAAAATGTCAGTTGCAGGGTACTCGGGTTCTCGTCGTCTGTGACACTAACTCGCAATGCTATTCTCAGCATCCCTGCAACACACGGAACAGTGTTTGCTGGTGTAAGGGAGGGGTGGGATTCACACCTTGAGAGAAAAGCAGAAGCCAATTGGAAGCCAACATCATAACTGCTTACTATCAGTGCGAGTTCCAAGTTGGCTTCCGCTATTCTGCTTTTCTGTCAAGGTGTGAATTTTCCCTAACAGTTAATTTCATGTCCATAGCTTAGAGGGAAAAATGAATTACGTCTATTCCTTCGGCCTTCACTCTCAATCACAGCAGGTATTAACCTACCAAGACATATATATAAGTATATTACAGCATATTATATCGTTATATTATTATAGTGTGCACGCAACAACATTAAAGGTCACTCGTTTGAGAGACTGCGGCACTTGAAATTACCTGACAATTGAAGAAAAGCGCCTCCTGATATGCTTTATCTTGGGAGTTTCTCACGTCCCAGATACAAATTACTGGGAGTCTGCTGAATACACTGAAAAGGGAGTTTCAGGGTCGCTTCTCAGGTTCCCTATTCTAAAGATTTAAATGTCCACGCAGCTCCGAGAAAGACTTAAACGTACCTTGGCACCGATATTGGTGTCGTATCCACCTTTTCTCTGCATCTGCGCCTGTAGATTGGCCAACTGCGCGATGGACATGTCGACGTCGCCGCTGCTTATGTGCGCGGTATGTCGGAAGTTGGTGGGCACGCCGATCATGCTCCGGTCTATCCTGAGCTTCTGGCGTTGCTGCGACCGGCCGTTCCGCGTCCTCGCCGGCGGCCGCTGGGTTATACAGCACGTGAAACACTGCACCCAGAGTTCGCTGCTACCGGCCATCTTGCGGTATCCTGGAGCGTCGCTCCTCTTCGAGAAAAGGTCGCGGTTGAGTCACGGAGATAACCTCAAAGCAAGTTCGCTCGATCCGGTGGCTGGAAATCTCGGCTGGCCGGAACTCGACGTCCTCGGCCCGTGGGAGATGCGGAACGCAGGAGCGAACGGTGCCGACACACAGGTGAAGCACAGCAGCCTTCTATCTACGAGCGACAACGTTACAGGTTAGGTGAAGTCCTCCGAAGTCCGCGGACCAGATAACGTCGCCTTTGTGGCCGTTCTTTAACCTTCGTCTCAACCTTTCGGCGCGTTCTCAGCGGCCGAATCGAACAAAACAAACATCTCCGTCGGACGAGCAACTCGCGAAGGACATCGTCCCCTGCGAGCGCAACACACACACACACACACACCGAACGAGACGAGGATTCGTTTCGGCGACGATACTCGACGGCGACGGACAAAGGCGGCGATGCCGCCGCAACGAGCGCTGTTATGTCTAACGCCCGTTTCACACACGTGCCGCGACATATGCTGTGTATGTGTGTATGTGTTCGCGCGCACGTCATCCCAATGACGTGTCCCCCTGTGAACGCGTGAATAATATTCTTCTCTTTTCACTGTATAATTTACTTATTAACACTGACCCCTTGCAATGATCTAACCGGGCATATAGAGCGATATGCATTAGGCAAGTATAAGACGTTTGCGTAACGCGCGATCTTGAAAAGCGAACTGGCGAAATGATATATATGAATTAGATGTTTGGATAACATTACCGGCATACCAAGCTCGATTTCTATCCGGCTGAAAGCTTTGCAAGAGATCTGCTCACGGAATCGCGATCGATGATCGCGATATTCAAAGTATTTGGACAGCACACAATATTTAGAAAATATTTTAAATATATAGGTGCGAAATATTTCGTAAATATTCTAATATCCGGGAAAGTCTGGAGTATACGAGGAAGGTGATAACAAATATTGAAGATTTTTAAAAATAATATTTTTCATAAACAATAAAATCATGTTTTAATTGTTCATGAGAAATATTTATTATAAATATTTTTAAATATTTATCGTGCCACGTTTTACCTACTTATGAAAAATCTTCATCGTAAATATTTTTGAACATACTTATCGTAATCTTTCTCACATCAGACATCCCCAGACATTTGAATATTTACAAAATAACATCAATATTTTTTAATATTTTATAAATATCGTGTGCTGTCTGGATAAGGAACGATAAGGAAATACCATTCATTCACATACCAAAGAAATAAGAAGAGATAGCAACAAGAAAAGATATCGTAGCGAGGAGTGATGAAGAGAGGGACGAGAGAGAAGGTAGTGCCAGCTAATACACTTTATTTAAATAAATTACGTACAAGTGTGCTCTTCTCTAAAACGAAATATTCCATCTATATCCACATTTTCTCTCTCTCTCTCTCTCTCTCTCTCTATCGCTTAAGACATATATAAATTAGGATATTATTAATTTCTTTTACGGTAAATTGACTGCAAAGGCCTTCGCTCTTGTGTATTTTCGATATTCTCCCTCCCCTCCCCCCTAACCGCGTACTCGCTCTTGCCGCGCTCGAGAAGTTCTCGAACACCGAGTCCCTTTCTCTTCTTCCTCGTCGCTTCTCCGTCTCATGGGATGCTTCCGCCTTTTCTTAAATTCACGCAGACGTTGTTAGAATTATCACAGTCTGTCTATTTACAGCGCGTTAAACATTTTAACGTGATGGTCTTAATCTACAATTAATTCTCTCTCCCTCTCTCACTCTCTTTTTCTCTCGGGAATCTCTACGGCGAGAATACTCCGTGCCATGTTTTAAACGCTAAAAGACCCCGAGGGAACGCTATTTCATAGCGCCAACGCGAGGCACCGGATATAAACCCGCGATACCCTCGCAAAATAAAAAAACAAAATACCTCAGCTACGTGGATCTTTCTCTTCCAAGGAGAAAACTTACGTATTAATCATAGATACTAAGTAATCGGACAACTTAACCTGTTAACCGGGGAATTCCTTTTTTAATTACGCAACACGGACGTATTTATACGTCCCGCTTGGTTAACAGGTTAATAGCCACACGCGCGCGCGCACACACACACACACACACACACACACACACACACACACACACACACACACACACACACACACACACACACACACACACACACACACACACACACACACACACACACACACACACACACACACACACACACACACACACACACACACACACACACACACACACACACACACACACACACACACACACACACACACACACACACACACACACACACACACACACACACACACACACACACACACACACACACACACACACACACACACACACACACACACACACACACACACACACACACACACACACACACACACACACACACACACACACACACACACACACACACACACACACACACACACACACACACACACACACACACACACACACACACACACACACACACACACACACACACACACACACACACACACACACACACACACACACACACACACACACACACACACACACACACACACACACACACACACACACACACACACACACACACACACACACACACACACACACACACACACACACACACACACACACACACACACACACACACACACACACACACACACACACACACACACACACACACACACACACACACACACACACACACACACACACACACACACACACACACACACACACACACACACACACACACACACACACACACACACACACACACACACACACACACACACCATTACAAGACTTTCTCGACACAGTGTATTTGCATTTAAATGTACTTAATACAAAAGGTCACATATTAAAAAAATGTCTTTCGCTAATGATGATCTTATGTACATTTAAGGGAATATACAGAGTCGTGGCGTTCCCGACATCGCGCGATATCTCTCTCTCTCTCTTTTCCTCTCCGGTCGAATTCGGCTATTATTGCATCGGGTGAAGTGACCGACTCGACGCTTTGTAGACTTCGATCCCGTTCGGCACTAACGATTTATATGCAAGTGTCAGTAGCATTTCACGCACAGCTAAAATACTTAGAGGCATTCAGCGTGAGTCGCATCCTTGGACGCACGTGATGCACATCGGCACGGATCAAAGGCCATGCATACCTAGGTCGACCGATTTATAGACGGAAAAAGATAATAGCGGCGACGACTCACTTAAACGAAGAAAGGAAATTCACGGTGAATCATAGGTGATAACGCGATAGACGTCGCTTGCGAACGTGAGGAATCGAGGTTATGCCTCGCCTCGGTCGTTGTACATGCAGATTATACACCAGAAACTTTGAACCCTCCTGAATGGCACAATATTAACGTTATTAATATTGGATTGTTCTCTCTCTCTCTCTCTCTCTCTCTCTCTCTCTCTATCACTGGTCTCATCTTCGCTTTAGCTCGACCGATTGTGCGTCGAGGTCTTCATCGTCTGTTGTCTATACAAGCGCCTCGAATCGAAAACATTCAGCCAGGATACGCCGCCGTTCACCGAGTATCTCATATTAATTACGCGTACGAGGAGCATTTTAGATCTATGCGAGCCCTCAGTGCGCACCGGTGCATCCGTCCGTTCAGTGCCGAATTCAACCGTTCGGTTCCAAAAACCTCCGGAAGTTCTCCGTCGGATAGGCCACCCGATTGCCCAACAAGTGTGGGACGGTCGAACTGAATCGCGCGGTGTCCGCCTTACTAATAGAGTGCGGAAGCGCGTGAAGTCCCCCAAGGTCAATCTTCCAAATCGGGTGATGCGAAAGCTGCCCAGGTGAGGAGCCAATTTTGCTCTGATGACGTGACGACTGATAGCAAGCGGAGGGGGTTTATGTTCGGTGTACCGGGTGTCTCAGAAGCAACGGATGTCCGAAGCGGAGTGTGGATACTTCGACGGGGGAAAAACGGGGAGGAGGTGAAGAACTCACGTTCTCCTGACATATACATACAGAGAGATTTTATGTTCTAAAGGAGAATTCCCTGTAAACATTAACTTCTCTTTAATTATATATCAAGGTTGCGTTTAATGTACATATAAAAGTAACTATTTACATGTAAAATATTATGTAAAATATAAATTATATAAAAAAATACATCAATATTGTATATTATACAGAAATTATAGGTGTTTTATATAACTTGTATAGCCAAGTTATATCTTTCATATAATTTCAGATAAATATACATATTTGGATTTCTGGATTTTGTTAGAAAAATCTTTGAAATCAGACTGGGGAAAAAATTAGCCTCCAGGCTGTCGTTCAAAAACGATGGACCCTCGTCGAATTTCCGATCCGTTGTCGCCGTGGAAACTGGTTAATTTCCGATTCCGTGACACCTTACGAGGGCAGTCCGATAAGTACTTAGCCTACAAAAGAAAAACGAAAATTTTGGAAAAGTGGCGATTTATTTCTCAACATAGTCTCCTTTTAGCTCGATACACTTGACCCAGCGATGCTCCAACTTCTTTAACCCATCTGAAAAATACGTTTTCTCGAAGTCTGCAAAGTAGGTCTCCGTGGCGGCGATGACCTCCTCATTCGGCCAAATTGGTCGAATTGGACTACGAACTGCTGCCCCATCCACTGTATTCTCCAGATTTGGCCCCGTGCGACTTTTTTTGTTTCCAAACTTGAAAAAGTTACTCGACGGGCAGAAATTTGAGTCGAATGAGGAGATCATCGCCGCCACGGAGGCCTTTGCAGACTTCGAGAAAACGTATTTTTCAGATGGGTTAAAGAAGTTGGAGCATCGCTGGGTCAAGTGTATCGAGCTAAAAGGAGACTATGTTGAGAAATAAATAACCACTTTTCCAAAATTTTCGTTTTTCTTTTGTAGGCTAAGTACTTATCGGACCACCTTCGTATGTGCGCACAAACAGTTTCACGCGCGTCAAATCACGCGCGAGCGGCAATCGAAACGCTTCAAACAAAACGGATCTCGGTACCCTCCTGGGCAGCATGCTCGTCGCGAAACCTCACGGACTTCCGCAGCTTATCCATAAACAAACGATAAGTCGAGATATAATCTGCGTCGAAATGGTCAAGGCGCACTCCGTGTTCCGCAGGTAAATTTCGCGGATTCATTGTTAACGATAAATGAGTCGCGGGAGCGGGGACAGCGATAATCGCTGAAATATCGATATAATACCCTTGTTTTCAAACAGATTAAATACTCGGCGTGGGAAGAAAGACCCGTCAGTGACGTATCAATCGTCTCTCCCTCTCTCTCTCTCTTTTTTTCCTACGGTGACAAAATCGTATCTGTCAGACTCAAGGATTCAACGGTGGCGCAAGAATCTGTAAACCTTTCAAAAGCGACACGTTTGCCACATGCATCAACCACGTTGATTAATCGACGATGTTTCAGTGACTCAAAAGACAAATTTTATGGCCGGTTACTCGCCAGATTTTGAAACTCTCGTGCAGATTTCAGAACCCGTGTTGAAAACTGAACAAATAGGGACGCCGGTTTTTTTTCTTTTCCCTTAGCCAACTCCACGCGCGCAAAACTGGTCTTTACGCGTTCTAACAAAAAGTCGAAAGAAAAGTTGTTCGGCTAATACCTGGTAAATAATACATTTTAGTGCGCTCGGCACTGTCTGTTGCAACGACTATTTCTTATCCTCCCCCCTCCCCCCTTTCGTTGAGTCGCTGTGCGCAAACGAATTCACGGAGATTACCTATTCGATAAAACGGCGTGTCTCGACCGTAACGATACTAACGGTGGATTTCCAGTAGGAGCGGTTCGTTCTCTAGGGACAAAAATGTCATTAGCTGGAGCGCCTAGAAAACAAAATTCTGGATTCTTAGTATACAGTGGAGGAGGAGAGACCATCCTATCGGACGACAACGACCCGGCCGCTGTGTTGGACGTTGGATCGAGTACGACAACGCAGTTTTTAACGGCAACTATCGCGGAGTTCACTGTTATATGACGCTTCTCGTGACTTCCGGTTACGCGGGAAGAAACGTTGAAATACGTCGAGGAGGAATCCTTCACAATCAAAAAATATATATTCACTTATAACGTTTTCGTGACACACACACACACACACACACACACACACACACACACACCCTCTCTCCCTCAAGATCGATCCCGCCTCTTGATCCGATCGGTAGCGCAACAAACGGCCGGATTCTGGCTAGTGGCGCATAAAAAAACGTAAGCGGTAATACGTAAGCGGTAAGCAAATTGACCAATCACAGCCGATTATTCTCCGACCGTAAGGAAGATAATCAACTTTGGCCAGTTTCCTTATTGTTTACATTTTTCCATGTGCCACTAGCGTCTCTCTCTCTCTCTCTCTCTCTCTCGCTCACTCGCTCGAGGGCGGCATTTTCCACGGAGGCGATTAGGAAAACGCCGAGGACGCTTGGCGGCGCGCTTCGTCGTCCTATCGGGCGAAGCCCAGGAAATCGGTGAGTCTGTCATTCCAGTCGTGTAGCCAATGAGTCGGCCCGTGGCTTGGTTGACGCTGCTTACACGGGTTGATCTCCTTCTCTGGCGGCATATACTCCTCGCTGCGTATGCAGAAATAGCTCTTGATAGGACTGCGACACATCGGGCAGCGGTCGAGCTTGCCGAAGCACGAGGCGCAGATGCAAGTGTGCCTGCATGGCAGGAGGGCGCGTGACAACGGGAAGTACTGGCAGACCACGCACAGCTGCTCGCCAGCGCTATTCCAAAGAGAACCACCGTCCTGGTCGCCGCCTTGACCGGACGCCACCAGGGCGCCGCGACCGGCGCCGCCTCCGCTGCCGGCGTTGTTGTTGTTGTTGCACGGCTCGGCGAGCGCCAACGCCGGCGTTGGGCCCAGCCCGGACGACACGTCGCTCTCGTCGTAGTTGCTGGAGTTGCCCGTCGCCAGATACAGTTGCTGTGGACAAGAATCGCAAAAGACGCGAGGTCGCACGAGTGGTTGACGCATCGCGGTACGGCACGTATCGATCGCCATGTGTTGATCGCTTCGGATTCCTCGTGCCGTTAACTGCGTCTTTTGAGCAAATCAATGGGATCGTTAAGAACATCCCAAAGAATCGTCGTTTTGTTTTATCGAATTTTGTTAATTGGTTCGGGACCGGGTCTAGTTGCTACATTTTTCGCATATTGATTAAAAGAAAAACTTGTACGCAATATCTCGTGATATTGTGTACATTATAACAAATTTGGTATACGGAAAAAATTTGGTCGTATTATCAATTCCGGCTATAAGAACCGGAAATTCTGTCCCCTTCAAGCAGAATGCATCTGGCTGGTTGTTCCTTTTCTGGTTAATTCAATCCGGATTTTTCTTTCCGTCCATTAACAATTTACGTCAAAGGGACGACTCCAGGATGCTCTTAAGGAATCATAGGATATCTTAACATTTTATGGAGAATATCAACATCATCCTTTTCAATTCTGTTCCGCAGAAGAATCATGCATCAACAGTAACCATACTGACTTCAACAGGAGTGATTTGAAAAATCAGTATCCATATATTTTTTTTATTCATTAGAGTCATAGTTCTCGGAGGCCTTCTGCAAATTTCGAAATCATTATTTGCTTCTTTCATACAAACTCGAATCTTTCAGTGAAAAGATTAAATTTGATTTCCTTACAACTCCCATTTTGTAAAATATTGTTTTTTTCAAAACCCACTTCGTGAAGCGATGACTACAATCCTAACGAATAAAAAAATATATTGATATTAATTTCAGATCATTTCTGTTGAAGCAAGGATGATTATCATTCATGCATGTTTCTTTTATAGAATAGAATTGAAATGGACCCAGTGATATTAATATTCACGTATAAAATCTAATTTTTACACCAAGTTATTGTTGAAAATTGTATGTTGTTGAAATGTATATGAAATTAAAATGTATATTGAAATTATTGTTGAAATTAAAATGTATATTGTTGAAATGTATTTAATTAGACATATGTAACAAAAAATCCATGTTTTTAATTTGCAATTTTTTTTTACAACTCCACAAATTTTTACTGCTGTCAGGGTCGTGTGTGACTCCATACTTAATGGGATTGTCAATTCGCGGAATCAGTATCACGATCTCGATCAAGGGTGATCATCGTGCGACATTCAATGTATTAATGCTCGACGTTTCCAACGAGGGTTCAAGGTAACATCTCGTCGGTATCCGACTGCGATTTGACCCGTTACCGAGTAGCCTGATATAGAAATCGGTCGCTTCCCGTTTCGGATTGCAAGAATCGAGAACCGTTATTTCTCTGTCTCTCTCTCTCTCTCTCTCTTTCTCTCTCTCTCTCTCTATCGTTCCTTGTTTCACCAAGAGGACATCCGAGCGACCGACATCAAGACTCAAAGGAGATGATCTTTGTTACTTCGTTTGCTACTTCGCGACCAAAGGGGTCATGGTGAAGTGGAAGACGCTACGATACATCGCAGATGCGGATGATTAACGACGTCGCTCTAATCGGGTAACTCACCTTTAGGCAGGACAACTGACCGTTCGCCTGCTTCAAGTACTGTGCCAAAATCGAAGTCGGCAACGTGCACACGCTGTCCTTGATGTGAACAACGTTCACCAACGCCACCTTAAACATCGCATTAGCTCTCAATCATCCATTATTAATTCACGTCGAGCGATTAATGTCGCAAAAGGTAATAAGCGATGAAACACAACCCGACGACGACGAGCCTCTCTCGTGACGTAAACAGAAAAACACATATTGTACTCAAGTAAATCTCGTTTCAAGTATTTCATAAATTTATATGCTCGCAAGTGTATCATAGGTTCGCCGTAAGTATTGAATTTATTCAAAATATATTCTGAATTCTAACGAGCTTGGTATTTCGATCAAGAATATCAAATTAAAACTAACTAAATTTGAATAATTAAAACTTCAGTTTACTTACTTAAATTAATCAAGAATTTAACTTTCCTTCGATAAAGTTTGTAATATTCTCGAAAGGAAAGAACCAATTCTTTTGAGTAAATGATAATGAGCTTCTCTAATATTTGTGTCGAGTATATTTTGACACTTTTATCAAGAAAAAAAAAAAGAAATATTCTTTGTTCGAGATGACCACTATTTGAAAGAGGAGAAATAAATTGAACATTTGTTTTTTTTCTTTTCGCGATGCAATAATATTTTTCTCCGCGTAATAACAGGTCGACTCACGGTCTCGTCAGGATGCGGGTCCCTGTTGTCTCTCCGTGTGAGGAAGATCACTAAGGGGTAGCAGAGCCGCGGCGGAGTGCCGAGCTCCAATTCCGGCGCCGGGAGCGACAGTCTCAGCGTCTCCTCTCCGTGGGGCTGTCTACTGCAGTCTCGGTCAAGGAACGACGTGTGATCAACAACCTTTCTGATCGTCGTGATCGTGAGCGAGATGAAGTGAGATGGCGAAGTGAAGCTCACGAAGAAGCGCGTTTGATCCGCTCACGTCGGGATTATCGGGATCGGTTGCGTCCTCGCGATGATTCCCGACGTCGCACACCGTGAGGAATATAAATATATAACGTTATTGCGTCGTACAAAAAGTCTTCAAGAAAAAGAAGAAGAAGAATCCTGATGGGATTTTCCGAAAAGTCGCAGAACGGTGAACGCGCGACGTGGAAACGTCGAGGCGTTGCAAATGGTTTCCGAGATTTGACGATGATTTAAAATTCACGAGAGGCTGACACAGAGCGCGCCAGAACGTGACGAGTCCCGGAACGTTTTTACAACTCCGTATATTACAGGTGTCAGCTATCGAGATAAATGTTATTATCGCGTTTATTGCCGGGGCAGAGAAGGGGAAAAATGACCTGCCATTAGGAAGATAACAGATGGCATTAAGACGGCTCTTCTCGCTCGCTCGAGGTAAACGTCAACGGAGAATGGCTCCCGACGCGAATGGCTCGGGGGAGATTTCAGCGTCGCTGCGGGATCGCAAGACTCGGCCCGTCGAAGGCTAAGCCGACTTGCGGAATCGCTCTCGAAGGATACGTTTGAGGTGGTGTAAGATGTTGCGCGTAACCTTGCAGAAGGGTTCCGTTCAGGGACGCGTCGCGCAGCGTGCTCCAAGGCTTCCACAGCGCCAGATGCAGCTCCCTGATACTAACACCCCAGATCGCCTGCAACGAGTACTCCACTTGGCTGGACACTTCGCACTCCACCTCTAGAACAGACGTTTCCATTTTTCTTTTTTTTCTTTCTTTTTGCCTGCCTCTCAATCGCACCGACCAAAGATCGCTCGCTCGGCGAATACCGCTCGAGAACGTGTTTTCGCTGCATGACAATGAGTGTTTTCAACTATTCTAATCTCGAGAAGAAAACAACGAGCAGAACGCGAATCTATGGATAATGAGTATTATTGTCGATACCGGCTAGGAGCAAGAATAAATCAGAATTGAATTCGATTAATCAGCGAGGAGATTTATCGTTTCATTAAAATCAACGTTTCTCATTTCTCGAAGATAACGTCGTTAGTTAATTTGAAAGATGGCTAACATCATCCACATCTGAATTTTAAAGAATATCAAAGAGTCGCCCAAACGTCAGGGTCAAAGTGAAATTTACTGACACGTGAGCAAGAAAAAGAGAGAGCGAAAAAGGGGCGAAAAAATCGCGTGTGATTCTATTTTTTCTCGATTCTTTAAAGTATTATATAATTTCTTCTAACTCGACGTTTAATCTAAATTAAAGCTGTATCTATGTTTATCATATTTAAATAAATATCCGCTTATTGATGAGGATGTTAACTAATCAAAACAGAGATTAAGAATATTTAATGAGGATATCATGCAAATCTCGGGATTCTGATAGAAGAAGCTCGAGAATCACAATCTACGTCACACATTCCAATCTTTCGGAATCTGCTCGTCAAATTTTTGTCTTTTCGCATGAGATCATGCCGAGCGCGTTTCGATTGATTGATTGATTGATTGATTGATTGATCGATAGATCGATCAATCTCTCTTCTCTACATACAAGCGAGAAAAATCGGAATCACGAACCGGTAGATATTTAAATGTAAAGACCGGCGATTGCGTAATTTCCTTGGACCGTGCACGGCGACAATATTGTGCCAGACAATTAAAAGAGAGACTTTGACTCAAATTGAAAAAAATTATGCCTCATCGATAGTCAAGTAATTCTTGATCCCCAGCATGTCGTCATTTTCACCTACTTGTACTGTGTGGTCATGCGGACATTGCGGACGGCAGCGATTCATCTTGGAAAATTTATGTATCGTCTGGCGAAAAAACAATCTTTTTTTAAGGTAATTTTATCAGCAGCCTGCCGTATTTTCAGTAGGGCACGTCAAGGGAGCCACTCATAAATTTAGTACTTACGAGGGTGGGGTGAAAAGTTTCCGGTCTGAAATAGAGATGGCGCCAGCAGGTCTAATTTTTGGCTTGTATTCTATAGTATTATATCTTAATAAATTGTATATAAATTTTCAGGTAGATTGCTCTGTTTGTGTACATTTGAGAGCCGATTAAATAAGACGCCTCGATTGCTTACGTGAAAATGGAAAAGTCAGAGAAGCGTGCGGTCATCAAATACTTCTATTTAAAAGGCCTAACACCATTACAAATTAAAGAAGAGCTGGATTTCACACTGAAAGACTCTTCTCCATCATATTCAACGGTTAAACAGTGGGTTTCTGAATTTAAGAAAGGTCGCACGAGCACTTCTGACGATCCACATTCAGGACGCCCCGTTGAGGTCACAACTCCCGAAATGATTGAAAAAATTCATAAAATAGTGATGGAGGACCACAGATTAAAAGTAAGTAAGATAGCTGAGACTAGGATGTCAACTGAACGTGTGCGCAATATTTTACATGAACATTTGAGCATAAGGAAGCTCTGTGCTAGGTGGGTGCCGCGTTTGCTAACGTTCGATCAAAAATTCACCTGGAAAACTGTTTCAATCAAAAATTTGGCGCTGTACAAGCGAAACCCCAGCGAATTTTTGCGTCGATTTATAACTGTGGATGAAACTTGGATTCACCACTACACTCCTAAAACTAAACAACAGTCGAAACAATGGATTGGACCAGGTGAACCAACCCCAAAGAAGGCAAAAACAATTTTATCGACGAATAAGGTTATGGCGACTGTTTTTTGGGATGCAAAAGGAATTATTTTCATTGATTACCTGGAGAAGGATAAAACCATCACTGGTCAATACTACGCAGAGTTATTGCAGCGTTTGAAGGACGAAATGAAAAATAAACGACCTCACTTGGCGAAAAAAAAAACCTTGTTTCACCATGACAATGCATCTGCCCATTCGTCGGTCGTTGCGATGGCTAAAATCAAGGAATTGAAGTTCGAATTGTTCCCCCAACCAGCATATTCACCAAATTTAGCCCCCAGCGACTATCATTTGTTTCCTAACCTTAAAAAATGGCTCGGATAAAAAATTTGAGACCAACGAGGAAGTCATCGATGCTGTAAATGAGTATTTTGAGGGACTTGACATATCGGACTATAAAAATGGTATCACTGCATTAGAGCACCGTTATGAAAAATGTATAAATCTTGATGGAGATTTTGTTGAAAAATAAAACGAAAAAAAACGAAAAAAGTTGTTTTTCTTTATCAGGCCGGAAACTTTTCACCCCACCCTCGTATCAAACAAAATTACGTTCCTATACATTTCTCGCTACCTGAATAATAAGTATTAATTAAGAACGAAGTTGAGGTAGACATATATGGGACATTCCATGTCAACCGGATCAGTGCTGTGGCCAGGATTTGAAGCGTCGAAAAAATTCGTATGAAGGCTCGAATGAAAGCTTAGAGTATGAACTTTCAAAAGCCGTGTGCGCCTTTGCACAAATCAAAGATGGCGTCTTCAAAATGGTGGCCAGAAACTCAAGATTTACGATCAACTAACGAACTCGATGCTGCCGCCAAAACGTGAAGCTACGAAAAAATTTTCATAAGAACTCATTTTGAAGCTAGAACATAGAGCTATAAAACGCCGTACGCATCTTTGCAAAAAACAAAATAGCGGATCCGAGATGGCGGACACTCGACCAAAATACGGTTTTATGGCGTTTAAAAACACCATATTGATTTGAAAATGGACCGGCAAAGATTTTTTAGGGTTTATCATAACATTTCTGTCATAATAGAATCCGAAAAACAAAATGGCGGATCCAAGATGGCGGACGCCTGGCCAAAGTCCGCTAATAATGCCTTAAAAACCATCAGATTCGTTCGGACATGGATAAGCATATATTTTTTAAGGTGAATCATAACATATCTGGTGTGGTAAAATAAAAAAAGGCAAGATGGCGGGCCTTGGCCAAAATCCACTATTAATGTCTTAAAAACCACTGATTCGTTTGGACATGGATGGGCATATATTTTTTAAGGTGAATCATAACGTATCTGATATGGTAAAATAAAAAAAAACAAAATGACGGGCCTTGGCCAAAATCTAGTCTCACTGCTAGTGGTAAAGTGGTAAAAACTTAATGTTGGTAAAGACTTGAGGAAGGTTTCAAAAGCCCTTTTAGAAACTTATCCGAATGTACATCCACAATCAAAAATTAGTCACGACTGTAGAAAAACTTTTTATGAATCTCGAAAAAATCTTTCCCTTGAAAGTAACAACAATGGAGAAGACATGAGATTTGATGACTCTTCGGAAGAACTTCCAAATAAAAAGATATGCGAATTCAGAGAAGAACAATTAGATGAGCTTTTGAATGGTCTTAAAGAGAAATTTCTAAGTTTGCCTGAGAATGATCCGATGCGACAGTCTATTCTCACTATAGCCCCCGATTGTTGGAGTATTCGTAAAATTATGGAAGAATTCAAGTGTTCTTATAGGATGGCAAAACAATCTAAGGATTTGAAATATTCCGCTGAAGTATTAGCTGGAGTATTAGCAGTACCACCATTCAAGAGGGGAAAAAATTTGGATG